TTGTGAGTCGTCAGCTGCTGATGGTGGAGATTAGCAGTTGATGATGCTGATGGTCTTCTGATGTAGAGGTCTTAGTCGTAGGATGGCTAGTCGAGGTGATAGGATCTCATGCAAACCAACAAGATGGACGATAGATGGGTGGACGACAAAGCCAACGCCTCCAACGTTCCGTGATGGAAACTCTCTACCACGAATGATGTAGGTCCCATCACTTATCTGTCGCACTTCCTTCTTCCTGGACTTCGTTTTCTGCAAAGCGATGACGTGGTACTTGATGTGCTCTGCAGCGTCGAGAATAAGCGTGTCGTTCGGGCAGACGTGTCGTTTTTGTTCAATGCGAAAAGCGCCCTGTGAACCCTGACATCGTTCTTGCTACCACCCGGCGCCGTAGGCGGGATCCGATGTGCAGAGTTTCTTTCTATATTTCTAACTGGCAGAGTAATGAAATTTTTCCCCTATAAGAACAGACTTACTAAGTCTACTCTTGACTTCCGCGGGCGATCGCTGACCCGGGTGTGGAGCGGTGAAAACCGCCTAGCGACCAGAAAACCAGACGGCGTGGAATCTGGCCTGGCAGGCTCTTAGCTAGGCATCCGGCCGAAACCGGAAACGTTGAACTTCTTCACAAATTGGGAGGCCCTGCCAGAGTGTACACTCGGCTCTGCATCGCAGTTCGACACTCAGTGTCACCTCACGTCACGTTGAGGCTCTCATCAACGTCTTGGTCGAAATCAGAGCGTGCCGTGATGTTGCAATCCCCAAATGCCGATGTAGTTAGTGTGAGGGTTCCTTTGAAGCGACAGCGTTTCAGGAACGTCCAGGATCTTCTCAGTTGTAAATAATTTCCCTTCATTCTGCTCTTCGCGAAGCACTTTCTCGTTCAGCGAGTTGTAAACTTCGAAAGTATCAGTCGTCTCCACATTCGGTTGTTGTCCAAGGGTACTCCTGCACATTCAATGTGAGTGAGCTTTTCGGTCACACTAATCAGAGCTTTTCTACAACTTTGGGCATCTTCTTCTGCTCGTGGAAGCCTTTCGAGCTCTGTGATAAGCAGATATGTTATGCATCCAGACTTGTTGAAGCGCTTATAGAGAAGTAGTATAGCTTTGTCGTAGTTCTCTCCGATGACTGGCATATTGCAATGAAGGGAAGCTGCTGTTTCTTTTAATGCCCGCCTCAAGAAAAGGAACTTGTCCACGTTGCTGAGCTGCGGATTGCTGTGAATCAGTGAATTGTAAATCGTTCAGGTTGGGTAGTCTTTGTAATTTCCATTGAATGTTGGAACTTCAATTGTAGGTAGGCGCACTTTGTTCTCGCTGTATTGTCTGGCAGAGAGAGTATCAGCTGTATCCGTATCTTGTGGTGGAGTCTGGGCCGTTGAAGTAGCGAGATTGTCTGTAAGGCTTGACTGTTTCTCGAGTTCCCTCATCCGATACTCCAACCTGCTTGTCCAGTGTATTGCTTCTAGCTGTACACGATGAGCTTCGGTTGTTAAGAAGGAACCTAGATCATTCATCAGCTTCTCCCTCTTTGATTGCTCCTTCTTGACGCCAATGAAAGTCATGGCATTTTGCATGCGGACCTCCAGGTTTTCTAGCAGGCACGTAAGAGAGATCTGTACTTCGTCGATTTCCGCCATTTTGTCGGTTATGAATACATTGCATTCTGTTACCATGTTGGAAAATTCAAATGCTCTGTCTATGCTCAAGATTCTGCTCTCGAGGCTATTGACTGCAGAACATGCCATTAAGATGGGCGTCTTGAATCCAGCCAATTCGGACATAGTTTGTCTCGTTCGCGTGGACTGAATGCAGATAAAGAGCTTGAAGTAGCTTCTTTTGCTGAGCTATGGATTGACCTGATAGCTAGCAGCAAGCTTTTGATTTGACTGTTGTCGATCAACCGTCAAGGAGCTTGGGAGGGTCGTCTGCTAACTGTGGATTGTCCAGGCAGCTAGTTTGACCTCTTTATTGCGCTGTGGATTGGACCTGACAGCTTGATAAGGTGACTCTTGTATGTGAAAGTGGATGAGCCAGCAGTCACAGTCTTTTTTGGCTATTGAAAACCAAAAAAATTGCGAGTTCTTTTACTAATTGTGGATGAACCAGTCAGCTAGTTAGAAACCTTTGCTAGGCTATGGATAGGACCTGGTAGCTTAGCGAGTTGACTCTTGTATGTGAAAGTGGATGAACCAGCAATCACAGAGTCTTTTTTGGCTGTTGGAAGCCAAAAAAAATTGAAGAGTTCTTTTACTAACTGTGGATGAACCAGTCAGCTAGTTAGAAACTTCTGCTAAGCTATGGATAGGACCTGATAGCTTAGCAAGACTCTTGTTCGTGAAAGTGGATGGACCAGCAATCACGAAGTCGAATATCGGCTGTTAGTAGCCTGCCACGCGAGACTTTTATCGAATTTCGGTGAGCAGCGCCGAAGAGACAATCCGTTAGCCGATGCACCAATTTGGTATACACCAAGCTGGTACCACAACGGGTATAATTGTTTATTAGATAGTAGCGGAGCAGCCGCTGACTATTAACAGTGAAATAGTGGTGATATATCGAACCAACACCAGGACTGAGTATTCAGGCCATTTTATGCCACTTTTTTAGGCGTGGATAACCTGAATGCTCACTTCTGGCAAATAAGTATCATACAGAATCAAGGATTGCCTAAATGAAAGTAGGCGCCGCCAAGTATACTATCAAGCACAGTGGAGGGGTGACCTGGCGGCTTAAGTGGTTAGTGAACAGTAACGTTTGTCAACGACAAGCTAGTAGATACTGAATATAACATACAACATAACTCTACAATAACAAAGGTTGTAGATTAGGTAAGTAATCTACGACATGCGCATACAAAATTTGTTGATGGCACGCTCTGCAGAATGGCAGGATAGCAATAGCGGTTTGCAAGCTTGAAATAATACTGCATTGACATGTATTTGTTGCTCATCGCTGGCACAAAACAAGTACAACCATCATATGCTATTGTTCTTCCATACTTCTTAGTGGGAAGTCATGGTTGTTATTACATGATGACGAAAATGGCAACTCATACTCCGAAGTGCATGTGTGCCAAATTTGGTCCGAATCGGTTCAGGAATAAAAATTTCTGTTTGGAACATACGTATATGCAGAAAGACATACAAACAAGCAGACATTCAGCTCTATATGTAAAAAGATAAATTAAGAGTTTTGAACAGGCAATTTGGGACTGTAAGGCACGGTCGTAATAGCATCAAGATCAAAGGCGTTAAGTAATAACACCACAGCTCGCTATGACGGATTAACGCCCAGTTTTAGCTGGTAGAGTAAATTGAGTGACGATTATTGTTGAAAAAGTGTAGGGTTGTCCCGGGTTGTCCCACCAGATGGGGGGGGCACCTGGCTCTGGTAGTAATGTTATAGTAGACCCCCTAATTAAGCGACGACAGAAGTTTGCAGCGCGAAAAATGGTCTACGAAGACAAATCGCCCCTCAAGTGGCCCGAATCCTATGGTAGGCTCGGGCGAGTGCGAGATACATGCAAGGTAGAGACGCAGAGTCGTCGCGGGACCCTGCGTTCATGACTGTGTGCGCTATACGTGCTCTGGCCTTGCAGTTCGAAAATGATCTGTGTGCGGCGTCCGGGCCTACCGTAAGATTTGAGCCACTTTCCCACTTTCGGAGCAAATTTCAGCTTGGTAGACCCCCTCTTTCGCTCCGAACTTCAGCCATCGCTTAGGTAGGGGGTCTACTTCAACATCGCCACAAACACCCGACACTCATCTTTTTGTCGGGACGCTGCCTTTAAGATGATTTGGCTCTACCTTATTTTACAATAGCATTAAGACCAAAAGCGCATAAGTAATAACACCACAACTCGCTGTGATGGATTAACGCCCAGTTATACAGGGTGTCCCAAAAAAATGTTAACACTGTTTGATCGTTAATAACTTCGTTGATTTTGTGTCTTTAGGCGAGCTCGAAGCACCATTCTGTAGAGCGAGATTGAACTTAGATTCATAGTTTAAAGCGAATCACCGTTTGCTCTTCTTTACTGTAGGATCGGTAAGAAATTCCACCATATGGAACCGTCGTGAAGTATGCCCTCTGACAAAATTTTTTTCATAAAATCTGAAAAATCGTGCACTAGGGTTTTCGCGTACGCTGATTTTATTACACAACTTTTTACAAGTGTTTTCAGCATTTTTGACAGTGTAATCACATTTTTGACACATGCTGGGAAGTCAGTCATTACACTTTACCTAGGATAACTTTGAAAAGAAGTATCATATTGAAATGGAAATTTCATATCCGAAATCAGCGGCTTTCATTATCATAGTACAAAAGGTTTTGGCTTGTTTGGCTCTGTTTCGAAACAGAAAATGGCCTTCAATGGCCTAAAATCCTTGTCAAGTTTCCTACCGTAATTTTACAGTAAAGAGGAGAGTTAGATTATTTGCTTCATACCTTAAATCTAAGTTTATCCTCGCTCTACAAAACGGTACCTAAAGCTCGGCGAAAGACTTGAAAACAAGGAAGCTATTAACGATCAAACAGTGTTAACATTTTTTGGGACACCCTGTAATTGTAAGGTGAAAATATTGACGATTACTGTTCAAAATAACGCCCGTACAGGATTTTAGAGAGTCTTTTCGTTGTCTTTGACGCTTTACTTTATCACAGCACCATTAGCGACAGTAGTGCTAGATAGCTTTTTATTAGAACAAAAAGAAAAAAGAACAAAAAACTTCAACTCTCAACATCGTTTTATCGATGCAGTGTAGGATGGACCATGGAAAATTGGCAAACATCGTCTTGCTTTTCAAGGGTTTATGCGGCAAAATGCTCTTAAATCTCCAAAGTTGAGGGACTGGCAAAAATTTTGTTTTGCTTCGTTCACAGCGTCAATTTTTTGAATGTTCCCATTCGAGGATTTGGATCACCTCGCAATGAGGTCTCCGAAGTTCTTGCAAAGTATTTGTGTCTTGTTACAAGATTTAGAAAAATATATTTCAGGAATGATTTGGCTAGGCTTATTCTTTGTACCAATGCTGCCCATGATTAACAACATCAAACTTATATTGCTGATGTATATTCGAGCGTGGGCAGTAATGACATGCAATGTTCCAGCCAGACAGATATTTAGAGCTAGCAGGTACGTTTACCTCACTGTCAATGTAAGCTGAGTTTAAGTTGTTAAGGTCGTCAAATTTCTATCTTATGCTCTTGTTGCTGATGTTATTTCTTTGCACACTGCCAGTTGGATACGTAATTGCATCCAGGAAGCCTTCGAAAAGCTGTGGACCGTTTGGGTATGATATATCTAATTGACAAAAATAACACATTCTGAGAGATTGTTCCATCTATCTGTACCCAGTTGTCCTTGGGTCGCGTCGATGTTTTCTGACTTTCTTCAGCAGACCAATAGCTCGTCTAAAGATTGTTCAAAACTAATGGTCTGCGTGCATCAAGACCATACCTTCGATAGTTTAGAGACAGGGCGTCAAAAGTGAAGGTTGTTTGAACATCTGACGTCATAAATAGTAAAGGTTGTTTAAAGAAGATCAGAGAAGAGAATATGACGTAAAATAGATATAAAAAGCGAAAGAAACTGTTGAAAACCAAATAAAAACGCTGCAAAGAGGTCTGAAATCTTTCATTTGGCGGCTTTTCGAAATGCAAGTTTTCGCTCCAGGACCAGCAATTCGCAATACGGGGTTTTGGTTTTATGTGTCCTCTAAATTTTTACCCCCGCAATGACGTTCCTGTTTTCTGGGACGGATCTGGATTGGTCTGGATTGTTGCACTCATTGTTCTGAGCAACAATCGCCCAAGCTGGAAAAAAATCGATGCGAAAGTACTGAGACAGAACCAGGTGAAGGAAAACGCACTTTTTATGATTTTTCGCAAAAAATTCCACCATAATCGAAGAGGCAAGGGCTGGGTGGTTGTCTGCATTATGAACAGAAGCAAGATCTACAGAATGCACGAAAAAACCGCATGAAAGTAGTTAAACTAGGAGAAAAACAAGAGATTTTCGAAAACAAGGTTTTTGACGGATTTTTCCATCAAATCAAAGAATATGGTTCTGGGACGTTGTCAGCGTGAAAATAGAGATCAAGAGCTTCAAAATGATATATAGCTTACTAACGTTGGGTTCGAAACAGCGAAGAAAAGGGTACCAGAGCCAAATGCCCCGCGCCCCGCGTTTGGGGTAGCGAGGTAGCGCGCAGCGCACGGAGACGCAGACGAGCAGCTGAGACAGACCAGAGCCGACGGGGCATTTGGCTCTGGTCGTAGATCTCCGCGGGGTCTCAACGAAACCCTGCTACTTTATATATCATTCTGATCGTCATGACACGACGATGAGAACTGACTACGTCCCAGGTTTTGAAAATCACTCATTAACAGTATAGACCGGCGTTTTCTCGCGCGGCTTTTTGCGCAAGATTTAAGCGCAGTTCGTTTTTATCTAACTCCAACAGCTTTCCCAAACTTCTGAAACTCGATTTTGTTCAAATGAGAGAATAACTGAGAAATTTTGTATTGAATTCTGGCGAAAATTCCACAGAAGCCTTCTTTTTAAAATAACAAAAGGCTATGAGAACCTTGACCCCTGGCTAAACAACGCCACAGAGTAGAAGTCCGCGTAATGCAACCCATAGGCAGAGTTCGACAACTCACTGCCACTTCACCCTCGAAAATTTAATGCGGAAGGTAACGTTTCCATCTTCCTTTTAATTTTCATCTCTAACCCTGCCCACCCTACGATTTCTTTCAACGTCACAGCGCGTATGCCGCAAGCTGCTATAAGCACAAGAGTCCCACAAAAACTCTGCGTCTTTGCCATGGCGGACCCTGCGTATCCGTCCATTTGTAAATGTTGGCTTTCGACATGCTCGTTCTAGCCGGCTTCATGTTTTCCAAGGTGGTCTTTGAGAGCAGCGCAGCGGATAAATTTAGGTAGGCGAAACAGTTTTGAAGATCTGCCGAGCCCCTGCCTTTGAAGATATCAATTTATGTACAGTCGGCAACAGTACGTACAAGATCATCGGCAGTTTTGTAGTTCTTTTCTGGATGATTAGGGTGGTCCAAAAGGGATGGGGCAACTTGATTTTTTTAGCAATTTTTAGTGTCTTTTTCCATGACCATGAACAACCAGCAATCTGCAGGCTTTTGTATAAAGTGACCTACGCAGGGTATTCTGGCAAAATCTTGCAGCACCTCACCCACAATCCTTCGAGAGGCACTTCGAAGAAGTAGATGGATCTTTTTGGGATGCCTTTTGAATTTCTGCTGCTGTACCCCGAAGTCTCTAGACGTTTGATATATCAATCGGAAAAGCTTTCCAAGCTCTTTCTAATGATTACTTGAATATACAAAAATTCTCCATTATCTTATATATAAAGTTGAATGTCTGTTTGTATGTATGTATGTCTGTCTGTCTGTCTGTATGTCTGTCTGTGTGTACGTATGTTCCGAATAGAAAATTCCATTTCTGAACCGATCGGGACCAAACTTAGCACACATACACTTCGGGCCCCGGCGGGTGTCATAGGCTACTTTTCATCATCGATCGATATCGATTTTATCGATTTTTTGCAAAATTTGAGCTACGGGGCTGGGAGTTGGCACAGGGGAGTAATCGAGCATGCTGATCACCCCCCGTGGGGAATTGCTGTTTTGAATTGATTCCAAAGCAGCAAGATTAAGCAACTCTTGCAACTATCTGATATATCTCCTTCTAAAATTCAAGTACTCTAAGAATTCAATAAAGCCCTTATTATGTGCTATTTGATGTTCATCTGGCAATAAAAATCGCGTCTCTTGACAGACACCCACAGTCCCTCACCCATTGCTGCGAAAATATCTTAGATAGGCTCATTTGTTTCACTGCTGCTGTGCTGCTCAGAGTTTGAAATTATTTGTAATGATGAGCTTTGATCTCAAGCGCTTATAAAAATAACGCCGTGTGACGGAGTCCATCTATAGACCTCGACCAGAAGGTTTTGTTATGTACTAACATCTGCCAAAACTTGGACTTCCAATCACGTTTTCTGTTTCAAAAAACTGCATTTATTCTCTAGGTGCCCCATTACTTTTGGATCACCCTAATATTACTCTGACATATGTTGCAAAAATCTTTGAGATTATTCAAAATTCAACAGTTACGTACCGTAATGTTTTTTATTGTTTTTTTTTGTTTTTCCTATTTCATGAATTCGTCTTAATGATGAAATGTCTTCGAAAATTGAGAAAATCAGGTTCCCGGAATTTTCGAATAGAGCATCATGAAAAACGAACCAATGTGGCAAGTAGATTTGTACTTATGCTTATATTTGAAACAGATTTGAGTGTAGAGGCAGATTCACGTTCGTGCATAATGTAACTTGCTAAATAGTCAGATCTGGGCTCTTGGTAATCCAAAGTTGTCACAACGTGAAGAAATGCGACATCTTTTGTGATGGATTTCGTCTGTAATTAGATCGTAATTGTATCAGGTTGTTACATAAGCTTGTTACGCTTCATCTTCTTACGGCGGTAAGTTATACACTTCATACTTCAAATAGGGAATCAAGACACCATTCGATAGAGCAAAGCAAGCTCTACAAGATGACATGTGCAAGTTCGCATCAGCTGATCGCAAGTTCAAAGCCGAGGTCTGATTCGTCAGTGCTCAAAAAAATGAGAAAAATTTATATCTTTGTTTTCGTTCAAAGAATTCTACGAACTCGACCTGCTCACAAAACTTACACTTCACATCAAGAATTTATTGTTGTACCTTTACTGTATTTCTTCTTCAGCTATAAACCAAGAAAACAAAAATTTTCTTGCTTATACAAAACGAAACTATCCTGTTTCCACACAATTAGTTGTATGCTACGAGCCCTTAGAAGTATAACCGTAAAATTTCAGCTTCACACAAGCGCTACTTTTTGAAAATCGCCAAATTTAGCTCCCCTCACTGGGGTGCTCCATGCTAAAATCCACATTTCTCGACATTTCGACATTTCATTTCTTGAATGGAAACAGGATAGCTTCGTTTTTGCATAAGCATGAAAACTTTTGTTTTTTCGAATTCTAGCTGAAAAGAAAATTCAGGAAAGGTATATATGGATTCTTTACTTGAAGTGTAATATTTCAAGTTAGTGGAAGTTCCGTAAAATTTTTTTGAACAAAGATACAATTTTTTCGATTTTTTGAGCATTGAGTACAACTCAGATTTAGGTTTTGAACTTGCGGTGGATTGGAGCTGATGCAAACCTGCATATGTCATCTTGTAGAGCTTGCTTTGCTCTAACGAGTTTTACCCTGAAGGCCTTCTAAAAATGTATCAAGTATCACATCATCGCTCTGCAGGAAACGAAGTCCAGGAAGAAGGACGTGCGACAGATGAATGATGGAACACTCATCATTCGTGGTGAGAAGGTTCATCACGAAACGTGGGAGGTGTTGGCTTTGTCGTCCACCCATCTATCGTCCATCTTGTCGATTCGCACGAGATCCTATCACCCCGACTAGCCATCCTACGACTACGCCCTCCACTTCAGAAGACCATCAGCATCATCAACTGCTACCCTCCAACATCAGCAGCTGACGACTCAGAACTAGATGCTTTCTACGAAGACGTGGAGGAGGTCGTCCGCAACGAAAAGTCCTTCTACAAGTATGTTGTGGGCGACTTCAATGCGAAAATCGGGATGCCACTAGAAAAGGAATATAGGATCGGGAAGTTTGGATATGGGCTCCGGAACGAAAACGGCAACCGTCTTGTTGGGCTTCTCTCCGCCGCACGACTTTTCCATGGAAATTCCATCTTCATGAAGAAAGAACATCGACGGTGGACATGGGAATCGCCCAACGGAACGACTCACGCGGAGATCGACCACATTCTCGCCAACCGAAAGTGGAGCTCGCTCGATGTCTCAGTAGTTCCATCCTTCTGCAGTGGCTCCGATCAACGCCTCCTTCGAGCGAAGATACGACTCAGCCGAAGGCTGGAAAAGAAAGTCTGTCACAGTGCCGCGAGAAGGAAGGAAGTCGTTTACGACGGTAACAGGCTGGAGGAGCTCATATCAAGATGTGACTGGCCCATCGAGGAGGACCCAACGTACGACTACGACCGGCTTCTGAAAGGATTGCGAGCCTGCGGAGAATATGCCTCAGTGACTTCTGAGAAGAACTTGGAACGTATTTCGAAGACCACCAAGGAATTGCTCGAAAGAAGAAGATTTCTGAGGCAGGATCCGAATGCAACCCATCTCGAGCGACTGATAGCCAACGCCAGTTGCAGAACAGCTTTGCAGGAGGA